GGACATCTCAATCTTTGTTTTCTATGCCCAACCCTTTCCTCTTCCTCCGACCGGTAGCAGTCCCTCAAGAAACATGGATACCACTAGCCCAAGGTCGTTGCCGTATAGCACTGTAAGTAGCTTACCACGAAATAGATTGCCGATTCTGAAGCCTCACTAACCTCACAATCACAAGGTTGACGGGGCTACAGAATCCGCAATGGATTCATCAGTACGCTATTTGATTTGGCTGGAGGATGGTTCGAGAAAGGAGTTAAGGACTGATACAAAAGATGGGCATGACACAAAGTACTTGATCAAACAGGCTATAGGCTGGATAATTAAACAAAACTAAATCCTCTGCTTAAAATAAGACAAGTGTAAGTAGTACAACTACTGGATTTGATCACGTTTCGCAGATGAGAGATATTTGTTTGAAAATTTCGTGCAACACAGAACAAGAACAAGCCCAAAATTGTGGCAGAACAGACTCGAACAAACTGCAATTTTCGCATTCGTCCACGTAGTGACTCACCAAAAAGTTTCGCCATTTCGTACAATAAGACTCGACCATCACTCAGTTGGACGCCCAGTAACTGACCGGGTGTGTTACACAGACCACAAATACGGATGTCATTTTCTCGGATGGGAGACTCTGTTTGTGTCGAACTGACAGATTTCAAGGCAAGCACCCATCTGATGGAAAAAGTAATCAGCGATACGGATTTAAAGAGAACAAAACTATCAGTTGATCGATATTATATCACTGTTGTTAAAGGTCGAGATTAACAAGCTCACTTCGGACTGAAAATCAAAGAGGACTGTGGATTTTGAGCGGTAAAATTATTCTTCTAGGATAACAACATTGAACACAACGGAAAAATCGGGCAAACTGTGCACATAACCAATGTTTACTATAGAAATAAAGTGTAACAACGAATTGACGTTTCTGGATGTCTGCGTCACCCGTAGATCAAATGGTTAGGTGCAGCTTTCGGTGCTTAGAAAAGCAACCGGTAAAGACCAGTACATCTATTTCCGAAGCTTTTTACCGCCCATGATAAAAAAAGGAACCTGGCGGAGAGGGCAGAAAGGAACTGTAGTGTGGACTCGCTAGAAGAATAATTCCGTGCTATATGGTCGATTTTTACACGTGACGGGTATCCGGCTGTTATCTCTTTCTGTGCATACTGGACTACTTGTTCCTGTGAAACAACGTGCATAGGCCGCACGGTTAGGTGATTGTCCGAAAGGATTCGTGAACACCACCTTGCGCGGTGGAAACACTGAAAGGATTAAGTCTATGCAGACTATGCAGTGGTTCCACATGCACAGCTGAAACAAATCACATTGTGAACGGGGCCGAGGCTTTCCGCCCGCTGTATAAAGTTCGTGGGCAATTATTGAGGCAGATTCGCCGTCGGATGCTAGTCAGAGCAGAAGAAGCGGTGGGAATTCGTTTGCACAACCCCGTCTAACCGGTAATCTCGATGATCACATGAGTAAACAAACAACTAAGTGATATATGAGAAGAGAGTTGAATTTCAGGTTCGGTAGAGCAGGCCGAGTTAGAGGCGAATTGGGAGGCGAAAACTACTGTTTCCGTGTGGGGTTCACAAACCACAAAGCCAGGGGGATAGCATATACGAGGAGTTTTAAAGGGCGGAAATCATGTAAAACCACTTTAGCTAGTGGTCAGGATGTTCGGCTCCCAGTGGCGGACGAAGCCAAGCGCCTAACTTTGTGTCGAATGAAGCGTTCCTTTTCTCCGTCTCTCTCTCCGTGGTGAATGAGCAGTTGTTTCTGGCTTGCATAAAGCGATCACGGAATGCTGGGTCGAGTGAGTGGCACAAATAGCGAAATGTTGGGTCTTTAAAACGTACAGTAGGGTTGTAAAAGTAACTAACGCACTCGGAGAAATGTGGTTTGTTTAGGTTGGAGAAGGATGAAATATAAGGATATCTGAGTTGAAGAGCAACTTCAGGGAAGCTTGAGACGGAGGTTGAAATATCAGACTAGAAAAAGTCATTCCATGTACAACATGCCAGAAAGTTATGAAAAACAGTTCCAGCAGTCAGAAGGTGCGTCTGAATTTAGTAGATGAGGGAGAGAGCAAGAGAAGTGAGCGAGAAAGAAAATGAGACAATGATCTGATGAGCTAAAAGCAATGGCAGAAACGATGTTGAAGAATGACAAGGAAATTAATGTAAGGATACGGTAAATGGTGCGTATGTGTGGGCGCGGGGGGGGTCAGTTCAGTTTAGTTTGTACAACCATTAACCATGCACTTTCGTGCGCCAAGTTTTGGTTGCCCATTTGGATGAAGCAGTAGGAGAAAGACAGAAAAGTTGAAGAGAAAATGGAGAATTTTAGTGGATTAAGGTTATAAATAAATTGAGAAGACACACGAACGCCATTGTCTACGACACTCAGTCATATCATTCAGTGTCTCTAACCCTCGTTTACGATCACCCCGAGGTCCGCAGCTAGGGAGCCTAACGCAACCAATGTAACCAGGGGGGGGGGGGGTCCCCATTACGATCAGCGATACGCGTAGGGAGGTCAACTAGCAGACTCAGGTTGTTGCACACAGCGAAACCCTGGGCTTCGCCTCTCATGAACAACGTATCTGATAGGTGAAACAGCCACACATTATTGTGGACGTTGAAGTCTACTACGGTGGCTATTTGGTTGTTGGGATCCGATTCCATCAACGTTGCAGTGCTGAGAGACAAAAGAATCGTTGCTGTTACGCAAGTGGTAAATGTTACAAACAAAGTGGCGAAAAGAAGGGAGTTGGAACTTCACTCACATAAGCCGGAATTCAGGGATGGAGAAATCGAGGTGTGAAAGTCAGGAAGAAGCAGCAACAGATTAGTGAACACAGGTGCAAACACCGGCTTTGAAGAGGAGTGCTATCTTGCGATTAACTTGTATGCATTGTTCATATCTTATGTGCAGGACACCTGGCCCGCCAAACCGTAGACTCAGAGTGGCAAACCGATAGGTTTGTCGTGGTATCGAGCCGAGCGACAGCTAGGGGAGAAATGAGATGCTAGTGAAACAACAGACGGTTTATGAAAAAATTAAACGAAAAACCAAGAAAAGCTTTTTCAAATATTCAAACGTGTCTCATTTGGAAGGAAATATCTGGCCGAATCATGGAGCTGTTGGTGTGAAATTAAATGTGAAACTCACGTACCGGCCAACTGCTGCTGCTGTTCCGGATTCACCCGAAAAATCCAGCAACCCGATAAGGCGACCACAACAACCGACAAATGCCACTTGCTGGCAATCAATCCAACAGAAATGAGTGAGTTCTGAACCCCCGAATGCGGCAAATTTAGTGGTGTAAGCCAGAGCGTGTTGTGCGTCTGGATTACTACTCGGTTTCATGCAATCCACGAGCCTGATCGAGAGGGGGATAAAACGAGATTAAACAATCGGTATGAGGCTTCACATCCATCTGAACTTACCAAACCAATAGGGAAAAAACGGAACGTGCAAATTCGAAATCGGGATGAGCGGAGTTCGTGTACACACTCATGATGTGCCTGTCATAGACAGTCGTAATGCGGGTCATCCAAACCAGGATAGGCGTTTAGCCTGAGGTATCCTACCCTGGGGCACCCGTTCCCATCAAGTTATTCGAAATGGAATTACATGAACCACTGTCAGGAACACAGATGGCCTCGTACAGCAGAACAATCACTGCCACGTAAATGAAATGACTAAAACATATTCCACGATCGTAAAGGTGTTTAAAAGGAGACGTGGATATTGGGTAGTGTTTTTCC